GGTACCAGCGCTCAGCGGTGCGAGGGCGGCAGAGTTCTTCGGCACTTTTTCTCCTCAACAATGTCACCACGAATGGTGAGCTTGGAGCTGTGCCCATTCCGGAGGGTCTCTTGCAGTTTGGACAACTGGAAAGGATTCGGGGAGGAAGTGGCAACCAACCTCGGGGTGAAAAGAAGGCTGAGATGTTGATGGAATTCTAAAAGTAAGGCCACAGAGATGACACTGAAGCCTGGCCTCTCAGTAGTGGCAGGTTGCCTGATGGGAGGCAAGGCCCAGGCATTGTAGTGGGGGGGGGGGGGGGCGTGAGAATGAAGCTGGTGGCCATGTGGGGTCAGATGGGACAGGAGGTTGGGGTCAGGCCACCAGTCTGGGAGAGATGAACAATCAGCAGATGATAGAGCCAGCAACTCAGATTCAAATTCCAGCTCTCAAGTCACTAACTCCCTCGCTGGAGGCTGGTCACTTAATTTGGCACTTTGTTCATCTGAAGGGGACAGCAGGTTTATGATGAGGGGGTCAGGATCAAACACAGCTGTCAAGGCGAGTGCGATTTAGAATTGGTCTGTTTCGGACAGTTTCAATCCTGCTAGGTGCTCACTAGCTGTGTGACCTAACCCAGACAGGCAACTTCTCTGTGCCTGCTTGTTCATCTATGAACAGGGACGGGTACTTAGAAGCGGAGCACTCAGCCCGTGCCAGGCCCATAAATGGTATTGATGCAGTGGCAATTTGTTCTCCATTTTCCTGGTGGGCAGTGGGAAGTTGACACAGGAAGCTACTGAGGAGCTTCAGGGTGCCGGCAGGTGTGACAGTGAGCCCCCAGGGCTTGGCAGCTGACTCAACATGCCTGGGGCAGACAGCAGGTCCTCTCCTCACCTTAGCCAGGGGCACTGGAAGGGGTGAGCAGATAAGGAGGAGAGGGGAGCGAGCAGTTTGGCTGGGGCCATGAACACAAAGTTGCAGTTTCACATGAAGGGAGGACGATATATACAGGACAAGTTGGTGTCATCTCACAGGTATGAGGATGCATATTATCCAAACAATATAGCACAACATACAAGACCAAGTACTGGCCAGGATGTGGAGAAACTAGAAGCGTTAAGCCTTGCTGGCGGGAATGTAAAACAGGGCAGCTGCCATGGAAAACGGTATGGCAGTTACTTGAAAAATTCAACACAAGGGCAGACATTGGGGTGCACAGGTTAAGCTCCACCTGCAATGCCGGCATCCCATATTGGAGCGCTCGCTGGTTTAAGTCCCCGCTGCTCCACATCTGATCCAGCTCTCTGCTGTTGTGCCTGGGAAAGCAACAAAGGATGGCTCAAATGCTTGGTACCCTGCCACCCACGTGGAAGACCTGGAGGGAGTTCCTGGCTCCTGGCTTTGGCCCGGCCCGGTCCAGCCCTGGCCAGTTGGGGAATGAACTAGAGGGTGGAAGTCACAAAAGGAGGGGCCTTCAGAGACGGAAAGCAGAAAAATGGTTACGGGGGCTGGTGTTGAGGGCCATGAGGAGTTGGCACGTAATGCATATATAGTTTCAATTCGGTTCCAAGAAAAAGTCCTTGAGATGAATATGGTGCCGGGGAAACGTTCTGTGCTATGTATACTTTACCAGCATAAAAAAGCAGGAACATGGACAGAAAGAAAAGTGAGCAACGAAGCTAGGTTTCATTTAAACATAAATGAATGGAGGCCAGCGCTGTGGTGCAATGGATTAAGCCACAACCAGCAGTGCCGGCATCCCATATGGGCACCGGTTTGAGTTCTGGCTGCTCCAGCTCTGATCCAGCTCCCTGATGATGCTCCTGGGAAAGCAGTGGAAGATGGCCCAGTGCTTGGTCCCTGCACCTGATGAAGCTCTTGGCTGCTGGCTTAAATCTGTCCCAGCACTGCCTGTTGTGGTCTTTTGGGGAATGAACCAGTGGATGGAAGATCTCTCTTTCTCTGTCCCTCTTCTTTGTAGCAAAAAGAGTGAAAGGCACTGGGGTAGAAGTGGGGCAGGTGTATTATTGTGAACATTTTTCTTTTTATTTGAAAGGCAGTTAGAGAGAGAGAGAGAGAGAGAGAGAGAGAGAGATATTTTCCATCTGCTGGTTTGCTCCCTGAATGGCTGCAACAGCCAGGGCTAGGCCAGGCTGAATCCAGAAGCCAGGAGCCCCATGTGCAGCAGGGGCCAAGCAGTTGGGCCATCTTCCACTGCTTTCCCAGGTGCATGAACAGGGAGCTGGATCAGAAGTGGAGCAACCAGGACTCAAACCAGCACCTATATGGGATGCTGGTGTCACAGGCAGTGGCTTAACCCCCTAAGCCACTATGCCAGCTCCTAGGAAATGACTTTAAACTCAACAGTTAAGCTGTAGCAAAGTCTGAAAACTAAAAATCATAAAACTTTTGAAAACAATGGCAGAACATGTCAGTGACAATTTCCAGTAGCAATTTGGAAAGAGTGAGCAGAGCATGACAAGGTCATCTTTATCAAAGATGGAGGGTGCAGCTGTTCGGCACAGCAGTTAAGACTCTACAAGGAATATCCACATCGCATACCGGAGTGTCTGGGTTCAAGTCCTGGCTCTGCTCCGGAGTCTAGCTTCCTGCTAATGCACACCCTGGAGGCAGCAGCTGATGGTTCAAGCACTTGGATCCCTGCCACCCAAGTGAGAGACCTGAATTGAATTCCTAGCTCCTGGTTTCAACCTGGTTCAGCTCTGGCTGTCGTGGCAAGTGAGGCGGCAGTGAGTCTGTCTCCCTCTCGCAACCCATTGTCCCCCACCCCCCACCCCCGGCCATAAAAAAGAAATTTGAGTCTGCAGAGAGTTACAAATGAGGTTGCAGGTACCAGTAAAATCATGTAGTGGAAGGAGCATAAAGAGGAGAACCGGATGGAGGTCTTGAGAAATGCCTCCTTTTGGGAAGCGAAAGATAAAAATGGAAGAGCAGGTAGGAGAGAACTTGGAGGATGTGGCACCGAGGCACCAATGGAAACCAGTCTCTCAGGAGGGTTGACGCAGAGGCCAGCTGCTACACGGAGGAGCCTGGGGGCTGTGGGATGACCTGATGAGGCAGAGACTTGGGCAGGTGGCTCTGGGAAGGCCAGGGGAAGCCACACTGCAGGAGGACAGCAGGGGAACAAAGCAGGAAGGCTCTATCCCAAGGTGGGTCAGAGAGACCGATGCACCTGCACTTACAGAAGAGAAGAACCCAAGGAGAGTGTGAGGAGAGTTGAGGGGTTCAGCCTGAATGTGGACAGGGAGGCTGGAATTCAAAGCACAAGGGAGTATGGGCTATGGTGAGGAAGACAACAGAAAAACACACAAAGTTGGGGCCAGCACTGTGGAGCAAAGGGTTAACGCCCTGGCCTGAAGTGCCAGCATCCCATATGGGTGCCGGTTCAAGACCCTGCTGCTCCACTTCCCATCCAGGTCTCTGCTATGGCCTGGGAAAGCAGTAGAAGATGGCCCAAGTCCTTGAGCCCCAGCACTCGTGTGGGAGGCCCAGAGGAAGCTCCTGGCTCCTGGCTCCGGATCAGCGCTGCTTTGGCCATTGCGGCCATCAGGGGAGTGAACCAGCGGATGGAAGACCCCCTCTCACTCTCTGCCTCCCCTTCTCTCTCTGTTTAACTCTTTCAAATAAATAAATAAATCTTAAAACACACACAAAGTTACAGGAATCTAACTTTAACAAGGCAGTGCCAATAGGCAGGAGGCCTTAATTACTCAGTGCAGCCCCGCCAGTAGCAGGCTCCACGGCACACTCTGGAACCAGAAGCCCAACTCACCCAGATGCCCCAGAAGATATGACGTGCATGTCCAAGTTCTTCTGCCACAGGCACCGCCCAGTTTATAACCTTGCCTACAGGATCAGACTACCTGGGGAGCTAAAAAATGCTGATGCCCAGGCTGCACCCTGACCAGACATGTGTGTGGTGGTGACAAGACACCTGACTTCTTTAAACCCAGATAACGGTTCATAATGAGCAGCCAGGATTGGCAACCCCGGGGACAGATACTCCAAAGCCAAACACTAGTTCGCTGGCGTTTGCTGAACAAACTCAACAGCGGTGGCTTGAGACACTGAACATCAGCAGGGAGGACCTTGCCACACGACGCTGGCCTATGGCCTGCACGATGCTACAACACAGAGCAGCCCGAGTGGCAGCCGGGAGTGAGATTTGATGAAGTGGGCAGACAGAGGCAGGGTACTGGGGAGGGTGGGTCAGTGTTGGGGTGAGGGACCAGGGTGGGCAAGGCAGGGCTTCCTCATGTCGTGCTCTCCTCCCTGTCATAGAGGGGCATGCATTACCATTATTCTATGGTAACCAACAGAGTGGGAACAATTCCCTCTCAAGTATCTTTAGAATGCTGTTGCCCATCAGCTGTGTGGAAGGACACACACCTGTCAGCAGACTGCTGGGCTCTCCGAGGTACAACTCCAGACTCAACATTTCTAGCCAGCTCCCTGGATGATGTCAGGGCTGCAGGTCCAGAGGCTGCTCTCACATGTGACCACAAAGGCTAACGGAGACTGACCAGGGAAGGCTGCACCCCAGCACCTCCCCGACATGCACCCCTCCAGGAAACGTGCCTTTGCACCACACTGATGGCTGACTTTTCCCAGCTGTCACCATCTCTGTCCAGCCTGGTGAGAGGACGAGGTGCAGACTGCCGCATGGAACAAGCCACCAAATGGCAGGCTCCAAACAAGAAGGTCCCAGCTCTCCGCACCCAGCCTGTGCACTGCACTGTTTGAATTCAATGGGCTGAGGACACCATCACCCCACCTACGGCTGTGACTCACTGGCAGGAAGGCAACAACAAAACCCGTCGGTCATCTACTACTTCACATAAGCAGTGTACTCTCACCAAAGCTTAGTTGCTATGCACCCTGGATTCCATTTCTCTCCTTGTTTTAGGAGCCCTGTGCAGAGAAAGTGGTTTCTCCCCTGCCCATATTCTTAGCAACCAGGCAGAATGCTAAGCACACAGTGGGTATTGAGTACTTACTGAAAATTTGAGTTAGTCCTTCTTCATCTCAGATCTTGGGGCACCGACAGGTCAGGCTCCACTTGGATCTTGTTTGCCTTCCTACTGCTGACTCAATGCCTTCCCAAAGCAAACTCTCTGGATACAATCCAAGGAACTGATTCCACTGCTTTAAAACATTCTGTCCACCTTTAACTGGCTACAGCAGGGCTACCTGAACTTGTCATATGCTGTCCAGAGTGACGTTCAAACGCACAATTCCAGGAGCAGGTTGTGCTCTTGCAAACCTGGAGAACTTCTCCAGGGCACCTGAATTGATATGCATGGCATGGATGCAGAAGGGGGCTGGAATTTCAGCACACAATAGCCAAATCTGGAGATTTTCCAGCTGCCTTCTTGGCTAGTATTTCAGTTTATTTTGCAACTGAAGGTTTTGGCTAAAACTGCCTAAGGAAACTAGACTTGCTAGCACAAAGGGGACTGAAATAAAGGCACAGGTGTTATCGCTTTGAAAACCCAGGGGAAAACCATAAGGCCAGGGAGACAGATCCGCAGGGCTAATCTAGGGAGGCTCTGAGGGTGCAGTGGACACTGCAGGCTGTGTGGAGCAGTCACTCAGAGCTCCGCCTCTTGCCCAGGCTGGCCGAGCTGGCAGAGGATCCAACCACCCAGTAGGACTGGTCCAAGAGCTTTTCTTCCAAAAGCTCATTGCATAACAACCTCATGAGGGGCCATTCACCTCCTCTGGAAAATTCCAGGGCAATGCTGGCCTCCTGAAGAGCCCTTCTGGGTGGTTTTCTTAATGCTGTTTTTACAGCACTCTCAGAGAATGCAGATGACAGCAAAACCCTGCCCCCAGGTGGGCCACTGGTTTATAAAATTAACATGCATTTCCACCCAATAACAAGACTTGGTTTAGAAACAAAACGTCATCTTCCAACAAGAGACGCACTTTTCGATATCTCTGAATGTCAAAATGGAAAGTTGATCAGAATTCTGTGACAAATCCCATGGTTTCCCCTAAAGCTTACCCTATTGGCTTTCTTTGTATGCTCTTTTTTAAAGGACTTATTTGAAAAGCAGAGTTAGATCTTCCACCCCAGGGCTCCTAAATGGCCACAACTACCAGGGCTGGGTCAGGCACAAGCCAGGAGCCTGAAACTCCATCCCGGTCTCCCATGTGGCTGGCAGGGGCCCAAGTCCTTGAAGGCAGAGCAGTCATATGGGATCCCAGAGTCGCCTTAATAAGTGAGCCACAATGCCTTCCCTGTATGCTCCCGTTTGAAGCAGTACCCACATAGGACAGGCTTTGTGTAGGATAACCTTTGTGTGAGATGTATTACCTAGGAGGCTTACTAATGTTAATGCCAAATAGTAATTCCAAAAATAGTTGGATTAACACTGTGCCCAGAACCAATTTTTGACACCAAGCACTCTGATGGAAGATACTAAATTTTGCCACATACACATTTGTTATTGGTACTTTGTTCCAGAAAGATAAATCTGGGCAACTCTAAATGGGACTCAGTGAAGAATTAAGTTCCTTTTCAAAAATAAAGCTGATCACGAGCTGGAACTGTCAACAACAAAAAAAGCTGGCTTTAGTTTAGTGAGCAATTCATGTCACAGTAAAGAAACCAAGGCTTCGACGTGTTGTGAGGGTATGATGCTAACCTCATGGGGAGCTGAGCTGATGCCATCAAAGCCAGTGACGCAGCTGGGACTGAGAGCTGGATAAACTGGCACCATGCTGAGGGAAGGCAGACCAGGCAGTATCCTGCACTGAATCAACAGATAAAACATTTGAAAGCATCATGTCAGATCCCGGGCTCACTAATGCTTTCCACTGCAAACTGCTTCAGAAATTACATGGAAATGCAAACGCTAAGCTAGAGAAATGTACTTGAGAGAAGATATTTTAAGGAGAAAGGCTTTTGATGGGAGAATGACTGGACTGTGAACACAGTTTGAAGGTCTCAAAAATGCCCCGTATTAGCCAGTAACAGCAGTAAACCAATGGGGGCAATCTGACACCAAATAGAGATGAAAAGGGAACAATCCATCACTGCTCTAGAGGTGGCAAGCCTAGAGGCTGGCACTGTGGTGTACCAGGTAAAGCCGCCATCTGCAGTGCTGGCACCCCATATGGGTGCCAGTTCGTGTCCTGGCTGCTCCTCTTCCGATCCAGCTCTCTGCTATGGCCCAGGTGCTTGGGTCCCTGCATCCACGTCAGAGACCCGGATGAACATCCTGGCTCTTGGCTTCGGACAGGCCCAGCTTTGGCTGTTGTGGCCATTTGGGAAGTGAGCCAGCAGATGGAGGACGATTCTCTTTCTCCCTAATTCTGCCTCTCAAATAAATTAATACATAAAATCAAATAAATACATACATAAAATATGTATGTATGTATGTATTTACTTTTGCCAGGCAGAGTTAGACAGTGAGAGAGACAGAGTTGTAGACAGTGAGAGACAGAAAGAAAGGACTTCCTTCCGTTGGTTCACTCCCCTAATGGCCGCTACGGCTGGAGCTGTGCTGATCCGAAGCCAGGAACCGGGTACTTCCTCCTGGTCTCCCATGTGGGTGCAGGGACCCAAGCACTTAGGCCATCCTCCACTGCCCTCCCGGGCCACAGCAGGGAGCTGGACTGGAAGAGGAGCAACCAGGACTAGTACCCGGTGCCCCAACAGGGACTAGAACCTGGGGTGCCGGCGCTGCAGGAGAAGGATTAGCCTAGTGAGCCACGGCACCGGCCAAATACATGAAATCTTAAGAAAAATAGTGATAAGCCTGGGTAACCTATAACCTTGTAAAAATTTCATGGTTGATTTCTCCTGCCATGAGGATTTCTTAGGAGGCCAATTCTTTCAGGATAAAACAGGTCAGGGGTTTTGGTGTCTTAAGAATACAACTAACAGCTCTGCACTGTAGTGTAATGGGTAAAGCCGCTGCCTGCAGTGCCAGCGTCTCATGTGGGCACTGGTTTGAGTCCTGGCTGCTACAGTTCCAATCCAGCTCCCTGCTAACATGCCTAGAAAAGCAGAAGATGGCCAAATCCTTGAAACCCCACACCAGCAGGGGAGACCTGGAAGAAGCTTCAGGCTTCAGGCTTCCGTTCTGTCCAGCTCCGGCTGTTGCTGGCCATTGTGACCCAGTGGATAGAAAATTTCTCTTTACTTTCAAATAAATAAATAAATCTTAAAAACAAACAAACAAACAAACAAAAAAAACACTACAGCTGATACAAATGTGGCTACTTGGTATCTTCTCACTGCTCTCTTCCCGTTAAAAGATAATTCTTAATTCAGGCAGGTATGAGACAGTACCTGCTTCCTTAGGCTGGAAGCCACCACCTCTAACCAACTGAAATTCAGATGGCTCCAGGCGAGAGCAGTTGCACTGATCCCCCATGGCCAACTGGGCTCGTTACTTGCCCCTCGTCCACCCCAGACACTGGAGAAAGGCAAAAATCAGTGCATCACAGGTGTGTAGCATTTTGAAGGCAGAGACCTGTACTAGCCACGTGCCAAGGGTGGGGTGGGTGGTGTTGACAGGACAATCTGTCCTTGACTTTCTGTAGCATTACTGGGGTCAGCTTTGTTAATTGTTTTGACCTTCTCCACACAGCAGGAACTACCATCAGCGGCACCGGGTGCAGTGGCTCCGTCTTCATGCATTCTTGATGAATCAGAATCATGCCACTTCTTAGGTGATGGCATCATCTACTTCAAAAACCTTTGTACAGACAGGAGTCTGGGTTTGCCCTGACGACAAAAGGACACACACACCAGAGCCTTGCTATTTTAAGAATGTACTTTATACAAAATAACCAGTTCATATGGAAATAAATCTACAGACCTCCAACGATCAAAAAGCTTTTTAAAAAGTTCTCTTAAAAAATTATCCAACACACAATATTGAACTAACTATTGAGGTAAGTGTCGCTCTCAGTGAAACAGGAAATCAGCAGACCACGACAAAATATACACACTATAAAAATAAATAGCATTCCCCCTTCCAGACTGGCCGGGAATGTTCACACGGCCCTGCTTTCGCAGCAGGAGCAGACTCCCTGACACGGTGTGCCTGGGGCTGGTGGAGACGCCCTGGGCTCTCAGGAGCTGCGGCAAGGCAGGAGAGTGAGGTCCCTGAGCCCCAGAGAGGGAAAGAGAAAGGAAGGGCCACACAGTCCACGCGTGGGGACCAGCATTCCAGTCACTTACGCTGATATATCCGCACCCCAGCTCCCACCCTATCCACCCTTTCAAAACATGCAGGACAACCATATGGTTAGCAGGCATTTCTACAAGAGTTAAACCTCCAGAGAAAGAGTCTAGGGAAAACAGCAGAGTTCAAGCTAAGCACAGGGACATCTTGCTCAACTTCTGTCTAGCAGAGGGAGGGACCAACACTCAGCCTGTATCACAGCGTAATCTGAGAGAAGGGAGATAGCAGTGTTTACTCCAATTCCACTTTCCCAAAGGGGAAGCAAGCAAAGCTCAGGGTCCTAAGGCTGAGACAGTAGAGTCCAACCCATCGAAAGAGAGAAAAGGAGCCCCGTTTCACCAAGTCTCCAGCACACTGGGGTTCCCAGGAGTGATGTGAGCTCCCAGTGTCCTCACTGAGGTGCTGTTCTCCTAAGAGCTGTCTGCCAGGACTCAGCACAGTCCAACTCTCTAATCCACGGAACAGATTCCCACGTGGCAGATAATGAAGAATCTGGCCAAGGGGGATAAACACAAAAGGGGCAATAACATAGAAAACCCTAAGCCTTTCATTTCTTACAAACTGAGGCTCTCTGGAGCCACGTTAGGATTCAGACATTATGGAACTGTCCTTTGCTTGGGACTGCCAATTAAGCATTCTTGGGACATTTCAATTTAGATCCTAAGAGCAGTGTATTATTTATAGATTTGAACTCCCATGTAAAGAAAAAGTCCAAGAAGTGGTGTGGACTGAACGCTTGTTTCTGACAGCTGTGGTGACTATAGCACTGGAATTGTGTGTGTTTGGGAGTATAAACTCTTTGATGCCAGTAGGAATTAGTAGAAATAACAACAACAAAGCAGATAAATGTCATGGCATAACAGCACCAAGTGGCTAGTCTCAAGAAGCACTTTCACGGGGGCAGGCTAAAATATATTAGCATTTAAAGCTAATGTTTGAACTCAAGGGTACAAATTGCAGGTCTTAAGGTTTTAACAAAATGTAAAAAATAAACATGATCATGAAAAACTATGCCTTTTGAGAGCAGTCTGACTAGGGTTCAGCAAGAATGAAAGTACCGTTAACAGCAGCAGACATGCACTACCACAAGAACTAAACCAACCTGTTTAACAAAGAAATGGGGAGGGGGGCTTAACTTTAAGAGGTGGGTTGGAAACTTACATTAAGCATCCTGAAACTTTAGTCTTCACATTCATCCATCCAGCATTTAAAAAGAAAAAAAAGCCAACAGCTCCTCTTACTTTTTAAATAAACAGATTCTGAGGAGGTAAACATGAAAACCAGAACTCTTCCAAAGGGCTCTACTTTCCCCTTGTGGATCTTTTATTTCGCTGGGCCTCAGAGAAAGGATCTAACTTATTAACAACCCTAACCAATGTTAAACAGGTGTGAGTGTTTTTCATCATCCCTGGGTCCCGTTATCTCCTCCTGGGGAACACTGAGAGCCAGGCGCAGGGACAAGGGGACAGCGACCTCCAGCCTAAGATGTCTTTCCAGCCTGAGAGCAAGCCATTTCAGGACACTCTTATATGCTACTTTCTAAGCATATCACATGACCATCATTTCCCTAGTGGAGAAGATGGCCAAATGCATTTGCTTTTGCTTTAAGACACTTGGAAATAAGAAGTGCTGCAAGAGGAAGCAAGCTGAGAGAAAAGGCTAGGCCAGGGGGTGAGCCAATCGGAGGCTCACAGCAGCTTTGGGTCATGTGTGTTCCTGCAGTCCAGCAGCTCCTGACAGCTTTCGGCAGACCAGTAAAGGCTCAGGACACAGAAGACAAGGGATGAAGCACTAGGACCTGCAATGCATGACCAAACCCCACAGAGGACTCAGCCATGCTGGTCTCTGCTGTCGCTCTTGTTCACAGTGTTAAAATGTAATACAGTAGTTCAGTTTCCTATTGCTCATCCTTAGTATTTTCTCATGTTAACAAATGGAAATAAAAGATAAAGGAATTTGCAGATTTTCCCCCTACACTGTTTACAGCATCTGCTAGGGACAGTGATAGGGTGGTGGGGGAGGGGCTGGGAGAGACAAGGAGCAAGGGTTCCCTGGAGCAGTGTGCATACGACTGCTCAAACACCAGGAGGGCAGAAGGAAAGGGTGAACCCAGCCCAATCCCACCCACATGGTTATTTTTTAAAGTGACCCCTATCATTTTAGCACCATGGGGAGAGGCCCTATGGTTACTTTACCGAAGAAGTCAAGAGGGCTCTCATTCAAGCCAGCTTCAATGCAGAAAGACAAGGGCTTACGTGGCCAAATGCGCCAGACCAGCTGTAGCTGGTCCCAAGATTTCCCCCTCCTCCCTGCTTATGCACAAACATAGAAACTGAAGTAGTCAACTGCTTTGACCCTGTTAGCTTACCCAAGATCAAGGGCATACAGATGCCTATCTGATCTCTTTACTCTTCTAAATCGGATCATGCCCACGAAAGGTGTCTAACAAGAATTCTGATCAAATGAGAACACAGCCTCCAAACTCAATTCACTCACAAACACCAAATTCAGCATGAAAATCTCAGAGTAAAATTCCCATTTTTGTTCATCATACCTCATAGGCATCTGTGTTCCCTACTCTTACCTGTGCCTGAGCCCTCAGCACCAGCACAAGGTTAAAAAATATCCACTCACTGCTAGGTGCCTCCATCATAGTGGAGATGGTGCTGTGGGATCCACCTCTGTAGCGGGGTTGTCTCTGACCGTTTCCGCAGTTACTGACAAGCAGACTGTACGCATGAAACTTCTACATTCCATCAGAGATGCTGGAACTGGAGGGAAAGCATCTACTGCCCCTTCCCACAGCTATATTTAAGAAACTAGGGTACATAACATTTTATGGAGGCATTTCTACAACCCCACGAGCATGCTTAAAAATATGCTGTTCTTCACAAAGATCTGTAATTTTAGAACATTTCCCTCAGTTTCTTTGCCTTCTTAGTTGGATATTCAAAAGTTTAAATGTGGGTCCTAACTTTGGTGACATCATCTCGGCTAAAATCAAATACAGGATGCTACACAGGGAGAATCCAGTGTTAATTCAGTTCTGAAACTGTAATAAAGTAATACTGTAAAAATGTCTCCTATCACAGATACAACAAATGATTTCCACAAACTGTTCTTGATAGCTATTTTAAATCACCACAACTGGTTTTTACTATGATTCACTTAAAATGAATAAAAACTATATATAATGAAATATTTCTAAATTCAAACTGTAAGTCTATAGAATAATTTTCCTATTCAAACCTGTGCAATTTCTTTATTGATGCTAACATACACAAACCTGAGTAGTCACATCCACAACATGTGGCTGGTGCAGAAAGCCTGGTGTCACAGCCTCGACAGGACTGTGAAGGACGTTATTCTGTCTTCTAAGAAGTGAAATGCTCTAGTGATCCGGTTCCTGATCTCTGTTAAAACTACCTGGTGGGAAGCATCTGGCAGGCCACCTGAAAGCACACAGCCTCCCAAGTGAGAACGCACCCAGCTGGGGGACAGATGGAACTACAGTCTGTTGAGCTGGTTGGAGAGATGGCCTTTTGCAAATGAAAGACTGGCTGTCTAAGGAAACACAGTGATGTGCAAGATGAGACCTTTCCTATCCTATTCTCCAGCTGACATGATTGTAAACAGGTAAAGACCACTCCAGTGCTGTGTGCCCCCCACGGTCAGGATTCCCATTTCTTCCAATCCCACCCCCCTCCCACTTTATGTACAATACATTCACCTCCAACAGAAATTATTTTAAAAGGCAACATGAAAATTCTGTAAACTGGACCCAGCTCGAAAAACATTAATACTACGAGTAGTCCCTTCCCCAAATAGATACCTGAGTTTAGCTGCTCATGAACGTTTAAAAGCACCACTCCACTCTTACACAAGCCCCTCCCCCAAGTTTAAAGTGATTTTTCCCTGAAAAAGAGTCTCAGGATGTGGAAAAGCCAGCATCAGTTCTTCCTTATTGTGTACATCAGCTCTGCAGGCAACCCTGCAGGCTGTGCTAGTCTCTAATGAGTGTGCTTTCCAGGGTCTGGGGAATGGCTCCAGTTCCTGATGGCATGAAGCAATTCACTGCAAAAGGGTGGTGCAGGCTGACAGGAACAGAGACGGGCAAGACTCATTCCCCCAGATTCTCCACATTCAGTGCAGCTTTCCATATGCTTGGGGGTCAGTTCCTCCTGGGACTAGCTCTGAGAGAAACAAACAAAACAAAGGCATTTTAAGCAAAATTAAACAATGTGTTGTTTAAAAAAATTAAATAAGCCCAAGAGCTACATACACTGCTCTAAATAACCAGTTTGTCTGTGGACCTCCCTCAGCTCAGATCCCAGCCCCCCTCAGGGCTTAGCAGCTGTGCGACACCTTGTGCACTAGGAACTGGCAATGCTGCTGCGGACCATCCCTCACAGAGGCCTGGGAG